AGGTGCCTCAGTAATAGCATGCTTGCCTGGCATGCATGAGGCCCTGGGTTCGATTCCTCAGCACCACATAAGCAGAAAAAGCTAGAAGTAGCACTGTGGCTCAAGTGGTAGAGTGCTAGCCTTGAGGTGAAGAGCTGAAGGACAGCACCCAGGCCAAGAGTTCAGTCCCCACGACCAACAAATTAACTAATTAAAATAAAATAACCAAAGCAAGCCAGGTATCGATGGCTAATACCTGTATTCCTAACTACTTAAGGGGCTGAGATCTGAGGATCACAGTTTGAAGCCAGCCAAAGCAGGAAAATCTGTGGGACTCTTATCTCCAATTAACTACCAAAGAGCTAGAAGTGGAGGTATGGCTCAAGTGGTAGAGCAGAGAAGCTCAGGGACAGGCCCTGAGTTCAAGTCCCAAGACTTGCTCACTCTCACACTCACACACAAACACACACACAGAATGCACACACAGAGAATGCATGCATGCACACACACACACACACACACACACACACACACACACATACAGAATGCCCAGGGACAGCATTCAGGCCCTCAGTTCAAGCTCCAAGACCAGCACACCAAAAAAAGAAAGCAGCAGCCAGGGGCTGGTGGCTCACACCTATAATCCTAGCTACTCAGGAGGCTGAGATCTGAGGATCATGGTTCAAAGCCAGTCTAGAAGGAAAAGATCTGTGATATTCTTATCACCAAAAAGCCACCAGAAAACCAGAAATGGAGCTGTGGCTCAAAGTGGCAGAATGCTATCCTTCAGCAAAAAGAGCTCAGAGACAGCATCCAGGTCCTGAGTTCACAACCTACAACCAGAAAAATAAGTAAATAAACCTTCGGCCTGACAAGTACAAGGCCCTGGGTTCAAACCCTAGTACTGACATACAATTTTTGTTAATCTTTAAAAGTCCTAGCTGCCTTGGATCTTTCTATGCCATGACTTAAGGCCATAGCTTGCCCTTGGATCATCTTTCTCTACTCCATGACATCACTCTGATTCTCTTCCTACTCTAGGCTGTTCATTTCAGGGCCTCGTTTTTAAACACTGCTATCACCTATGATTCTGGCTTTACCCTTGTTCTCATTTAAACATTGTCTCTCTAAATGATCTTACCTTAACTCATAGTTTCTACTAAGATCTACTTTCATCAATGCCTAGATAATAGGTCCAAATCTCTATCCTGAGACAGTCCTATACGTGATGAACAGGAGACAAGTCTTTGTAGAAGCTCTACTTGGGATTATCACACTTTGTGATCTGAAAGTCAACATATCTAAATAGAAATCTTAATTCTAACCTCCCATTCATCAGTTTTCTTTTGTATTCTCCATCTCATCAAGACCTATTCTAGGTGCCTCCTTATCCTGTCTCTTAACCTACTTTTCAGTTGTACCAAGTCTGCCATATGAAATGTTCACTTATTAAAGACAGCAAAATATTCACAAGATGAAATTCAGATCAAACTGCTGTTAGTACTCCATTAGGCAAAAACTATGTAATTGTGGATTTAGGGCATGACTCAAGAGTAGAGTATATGCCTAACAAAATCAAGGCCCTGAATTCAAGCCCCAGTACCACAAAAGGAAGCTCACATCTGTAATCCTATTTGAGAGGCTGAGATCTGAGGATGACAGTTCAAAGCCAGTCCAGACAAAAATGTCTGGGAGACTCATCTCCAACCAAAAAGCAGGAAGTAGAGCTGTGACTCAACTAGTACAGTGCTAGCCTTGAGAACAAAAGCTGAGGGAAGTACCCAGGCACCAAGTTGAAGCCCCGCAACTGGCACACATAAAAGGAAAAAAAACTATGTAATTATCAGCAAAGTGTGATGCTATGCACCTGTAGTTCCAGCTACTTGGGAAAGCAAGTCGGGAAGCTCACTCAATTTCAAGAGTTTGGGGTCAATTTCAGTGACAAAGCAAGCCTGCATATTTAAAAAAAACACAACTTTTTGAGAGTATAAATTTGAAATAGATTGTTTGCACCTATGAAACTATGAACTAGGAAACTCTTTGAAATTGTCCTGAGAAGAGGAAGAGGAGGAGGGAAAAGGAAAAGAGGAGAGGGGCGAGAAGAAGAAGCTATTAATTTTGTGTATCTGAATTACTTTCAGAGGAGTAAAATCAATGAGCTTACAAGTTTCCAAGTGAAATAAGATACATGCACAAAAATATATGCCAAAGCCGGGCGCCGGTGCCTCACGCCTGTAATCCTAGCTACTCAGGAGGCGGTTCAAAGCCAGCCCGGGCAGGGAAGTCCGTGAGACTCTTATCTCCAATAAACCACTAGAAAACTGGAAGTGGCACTGTGGCTCAAGCGATATAGCACTTGCCTTGAGCTGAAGAGCTGAGGGACAGTGCCCAAGCCAAGACTTCAAGCCCCCATGACCGACAAAAAAAAAAAAAGCCAAAAACAAAAGGAACCTCATGGGCTGGGAAGGTGGCTCAGTGGTAGAATGCTTGCCTTGCATGCATGAGGCCCTGGGTTAGATTCCTCAGCACCACATAAGCAAAAAGAAAAAAGCCAGAAGTGGCGCTGTGGCTCAAGTGGTAGAGTGCTAGCCTTGAGCTGAAGAGCTGAGGGACAGCGCCCAGGCCCAGAGTTCAGGCCCACGACCGGACAAAACAAAAAAAAAAAAAAGGAACCTCATGCAAGTCTTGCCTTGAATAACTAAACATTCTAGTTAGTAAAAGACTACCAATATGATAATAACCACCACTTTTCAAAAAAATTTTGTGCCAGTTCTATGGCTTGAACTAGGGGCCTGGGTGCTGTCCCTGAGCTTTTGTGCTCAAGGCTAGCACTCTACCACTTAGGACACAGCTCTACCTCTGGCTTTTTTGGTGATCAATTGAAGATTAAGAGTGAGGCTTGAGCTGGAAAGGTGGCTCAGTGATACAGTGCTTGCCTTGCATGCATGAGGCCCTGGGTTCAATTCCTTAGCATCACATAAGCAGAAAATGCCAGAAGTGGCACTGTGGTTCAAGTAGCAGAATGCTAGCCTTGAGCTGAAGAGCTGAGGGACAGTGCCTAGGCCCAGAGTTCAGGCCCCACAACCAAACAAACAAAAAAAAGTGAGGTTGACTGGACACTGGTGGCTCACGCCTGTAATCCTAGCTGCTCAGGAGACTGAGATCTGAGGATTGTAGTTCAAAGCCAACCCAGATAAGAAAGTCTGTGAGACACTTATGTCCAATTAACCACCAGAAAACCGGTAGTGGCGCTGTGGCTCAAGTGGTAGAGTGCTAGCCTTGAGCTAAAGAGCTCAGGGACAGCCTCCAGGCCCAGAGTTCAAGTCCCATAACCAACAAAAAAAAGAGTGAGACTGGCCTTGAACCATGATCCTCAGATCTTCCCCTGAGAAGCTAGGATTACAGGCGTGAGTCATGGGTACCCTGCTTCAAAATAATTTAGAATAAAATGAAAAACTGGAAAATGCCCACGTAATTTGGGGGCATGATTGGACACTGTCAAAAAAAATGTACTCATTACCCAACTTATGAAATGGTAACCCTTCTATACAACAACCTTAATAACAATAAAACTGTATGTTAAAGAAAACAAACTGGATGAAAATTTTATTCCACTACTTTCTTAAGAGTCGTAGTTACCAATTATCACCCTGGCTTGCAAATATATGTCTCATCTAATGAAGAATTAATACAGAAGGCTGGACATAGCATATATATACTTGAGATAGACTGCTTTGGCTTTAATATTAGTTTCACAATGCCTAACATCTTTTTTTTTCTCTTGGTGCCAGTACTGGGGCTTGAACTCAGGGCCTGGGCACTGTCCCTGAGCTTTTGTGCTCAAGATCAGCACTCTACCATTTGGGCCACAGCTCCACTTCTGAGTTTGTGCTTTTCCAGTCCTGGGACTTGAACGCTAGGCCTGGGCACTGTCCCTGAGTTTCTTTCGCTGATGGTGAATGCTCTACCACTTGAGCCACAGCACCACTTTGGGTATGTTATTGGGGATGTGTCTCATGGAGTTTCCTGCCTGGACTGGCTTTGAACCATGATCCTCAGATCTCAGCCTCCTGGGTAGCTAGGATGACAGGCATGAGACACCAGTGCCTGGCTTAAAATTCCTTATCTTGTACTTCATGTTAAAGTGATCTCTATTCAACAGTTACCACTGTCTGGGTAAAGTCTCCAATAGCTAATATTCATCTTTCTGAAAAATACTATACCTCAAAGAAAATTTAAAAAGGACACAAGCGCTGGAAGTGTAGTTCAGTAGTAGAATATATGTTTAGCATGTACAAGGCACAGGGTTCAATCCTGAATACAAAAAAAATAAACAAAAAGGAGATACTATACTTTTCTGACACAAAGTCTTTTAATATATCTGCATGAGAACGTGTATTTACTCAAAAACCCAAAACCAGGTTCCAGATACTTACTATGGTAGAAATATAACAAGGCAATGAAGTGCAACATCGGGGTGAGTAAATTTTGAGTCAAAACAATCCCCAAAATAGCTGAGCACCAGTGGCTCATATCTGTAATCCTAGCTACTTAGGATGCCAAGACCTAGAGCATCAGAGTTCAAAGCCAGCTCAGGCAGCAAAGTTGACTTCTTTCCAATTAATTAGCAAAAAAATGCCCTACTGGAGTTATGGCTCAAGTGCCAAGAGTGCCAGCCATGAGAAAGAAATCCAAGAGAGAAAACAAGGCCCTGAGTTCAAACTCAAGTGGGAAATATAAATCAAGGTGAACATCTTTTTGTGAGGAATTTAGAAAAGGGGAAAAAAGAAAGAAAGAAAAGGAGGTGTACACTGAATGGACAGGTAAAGATGCAGATGTGGACATCCACAGCATGTGTCTGCATGTGGGCTAAGTATAAAAGAAAGAGAACTGAGACAGAAAGCCAAGACAAAGAGGACAAGGAATGATCCTTTGGACTTTCTTTCCTGGTCACCAGACACAGCCCTATGGATGCTCTTGGGCTGCGAGAGAAATCCATGTGTTATAACCAAGAATCCTACCTGATAGTTTTAGAAGAGAAGTACCTTACAATTCTGTAAACCTTTTTGGCCTTCTCTCTGCATCTGTAAAAGAGTACTGTACATTATGTTGAGTCATAAAATTCTCATTTATTCCCTTCTACTTTGTATCTTGCAGATAATATACAATATGCCTTATAGATATATGCAAAGCAAATAAACTCTAACTACTTTTAAAGTTTCACCAATGCATTTGTGAAGCTTATTTGATCTATAGCAACTTCTGAAACTACCTTGTGATAGCTAGTTAAAAATGATTGTGGTCTTAAAGAGGGTTGTGGTGAAAAGTGCCTTTTCTAGAGAGGAAAGAAAGCTATCTCCCAAGTTAAAGGGTAAGGCTTACTACAAAAGTATGTGAAAGGGCTTAATAGTAAGCACTAACAGAGTACTTGGGGGCTGGGAAGGTGGCTCAGTGGTAGAGCACTTGCCTTGCATGCCTGAGGCCCTGGGTTCGATTCCCCAGCACCACATAAGCAAAAAGAAAAAAAGCTGATAGTGGTGCTATGGCTCAAGTGGTAGAGCGCTTGCCTTAAGCTGAAGAGCTGAGGGACAGCGTCCAGGCCCAGAGTTCAGGCCCCATGACTGGACCCCAAAAAAAAAACAAAAAACAACAAAATACAGAGTACTTGTAGGGGCTATGCCCCATGCTAAATGCTTTTATATACATTAACTCATTTAATTATGATCCAGCCTAAGAGGTAGATACTATCACTATTAGTACCCTCATTTTACAGACAAGGACATTATAGAGCACAGAGAGGCTAAGTATTTTGCACTAAAGTCATATCACTAATAGGAGAAAACAGGATTTAATCCCTTGGATATGAGACTCTAGACCTGTACTCTAACTCACTACTAATATCATGTTAGTCAGGCAGTTACTAAGGTTAAAAGGTGAACTTACTTAATTCAAGGTCATACAAATAGTTAGAGGTAAAAGGCTAACATCCTGGGTATGTTCAAGACCCTGGACTTAATTCCCAGTGAGAGAGAATGAGCTGGGAAAGGGTGGGAAGTGGGAGGAAAGCAGTAGAGGAAAGGGAAGGAGATAATCTAAAGGCAGACACATTGTAATTTTACTTATTTTAATTTTTTTTTTTTGCTTATGTGGTGCTGAGGAATCGAACCCAGGGCCTCATTCATGCAAGGCAAGCGCTCTACCACTGAGCCACATTCCCAGCCCTTATTTTAATTATGTACAAAATAAAATTGCATGTGGATGGAAAGAGCAAAAGCTTTGACATTAAGATAATATCCACTAATACCACTTATATGACCCAGAGAAATTGCTAACTTCCCTGATTTTGTTTTCCTGTCTATATGTTAAGAATACTAGAATCAATCTTTTTGAGTTGGGGTGGTAATTAAATACATTAACAACCTAAGTTTAAGGCCTGGAGGCATGCCTAAAGTGGTAGAAAGCAAAAGACCCTGAGTTCAATCCCTAGTACCTAGTACCATCAAGAATAAGTAAGATAACTGTGAAGAAAAATGTGACACGGTTCAAAAAGAAATGTACTCATGCCAGGCGCCAGTGGCTCACGCCTGTAATCCTAGCTACTCAGGAGCTGAGATCCGAGGATCGCGGTTCAAAGCCAGCCAGGGCAGGAAACTCCATGGGACTCATATCTCCAAGTAACCACCGGAAAACCGGTAGTAGCACTGTGGCTCAAGTGGTAGAGAGCTTCTTTGAGCTGAAGAGCTCCCAGGCCCAGAGGTCAAGCCCCACGACTGACCAAAAAAAAAAAAAGAAGAAATGTACTCATTATCTAGTTTAGGTAACTGTAACCCCTGTGTACATAACCTTTATAATAATAATAAAAAATAAAAAGTTTCAAAGCCAAATGATGTATTTGAATTACAAATGATCTACAATTCATATTTTATACAATATTTAATCTATAATAAAGATAATTAAAAATTAAAAAACAAGCCAGGTACTTGTAATAGCCTAGCTACTCAAAAAGCTGAGATATAAGGATCATGGTTCAAAGCCAGCCCCGAGACTATCTCCATTTAACCACCAAAAAGCCAGAAACTGAGCTGTAGCCTAAGTGGTAAAGTACTAGCCATGAGTAAAAAAGCTCAGGAACAGCACCCAGGCCCTGAGTTCAAGCCCCAGGACTGTCCCCCTTAAAATAAAAGAATAAGTAAATTTAATATCTAGCCTCGAGCTAATGGTGGCTTTCCCCTAACTCATGCCTAAGGCTCTTTTTTGTCCTCGACCAGGACTCAAACTCAGTATCTGATGTTTGAGCTCATTGTCTTGTACTCTACCATCTGCGCCATACCTCCTGTAAGGCTCATCATCACCCACAAGAATGGTGGGAATCAGAACCCTTCAATCTCTTCTGAAAATACGTTCTATCTCCCCAGGGCTTACCATAATGCAGACCTGTAAGCAATCACACAATGTACTGGTAATCAAAAACACTTGGATCTCATTTTGCAACAGCATTTTTCTCCATTATTTCTCATGATGCAAGTGTAATTTTTCAGCTTTACTAAGAGGATGCTTAGGCTGTTCTGCCCTAACCAGTTAATATACATTCATATCTATGCTATTTAAGAAGCCATAGGACTATGGATCACTTGAGATAATGTAGTACAAATTACAATGTGCTTCAAATATAAAAATGATGAAAAGATTTGAAGACATGGCACAGAAGAATGGAAAACTATCTCATATGAATTTTATATCAATTATATGCTGAGATAATAATTTGGATATACTAGGTTAAAAAAACATTAATATCTTACCTATTTAACAAAAATGCTGTGACTGAAAAAAAATCAATATCTCTTCTGTAGCTAGCATTATATCCTATTGGACACAAAAGATATGTAACAACCAAATTTAATATAACACTAAACTAAAACCAACCTGTTCACAATCCATACCTTAGACACTATGAGGAAAAGGAAGACTTAGAAGGAGAGAGGTATAAATTCAAACAGACCAAAAGCAACTATAACATAAAAACAAATAAATTTAAAAAATAACTAGAAAGTGTAAAAACATAAAAATTATATAAACTCTTTTAAGATTATTAATAAAGATTCTCTAAATACAGAATTATACCAACTTTAAGAACCTATTAAAGAATAATCATAAAACCAATATGAAATTCAAACAACTGTAAGTTAATTATGAATGGAAAAAAATCCATTCAAAGGCTTTGACATACCAAATGCTTAAAGCTCAAAAATTCTGCATCCTGTACAATACCTTAACAACAACAATATTTTTTAAAATTCTGTGCCTTCTCAAAATGGGTTATCAGATTAAGAAAAATTGTTTAGGAAGTGGCGCTGTAGCTCAAGTGGTAGAGCGCTCGCCTTGAGCTGAAGAGCTGAGGGACAGCGCCCAGGCCCAGAGTTCAAGCCCCATGACCGACCAAAAGAAAAAGAAAAATTGTTTATAATCCCAAATATGTACAGATTCTATACTTAGCTCTTAGTATTCAAAAAAGGAATGTACCTAAACTGGACTAAATCACAAGGCATCAGTGCCTCATGCCTGTAATCCCATCTACTCAAGGCTGAAATTTGAGGATCCTGAGCACAAAAGCTCAGAAACAGCACGCAGGCCCTGAGTTCCAGCGCAAGCACAGACACATAATCATTAGTATAGCTGGATATCAGTAGTTTGTGCCTGCTATGCTAGGTACTCTGGGGAGGGACGGGACTGACATCTGAGTATCTCCATTTGAAGCCAACCCCAGGCCAACAAATCAATGATTCATCTCCAATTAACCAGAAAAATCTGGAAGTAGCTTTTTGCTGGTTAATTGGAGATTAGGGTCTCTCATATTTGTTTGCCTGGGCTGGCTTTGAACCCTGATCCTCAGATCTCAGCCTCCTGATTAGCTAGAATTAGAGGTGTGAACCATTAGCACACATGCCTGTGATTTTACTTGCTAAAATGAAGAAAAATAAAAAATGGAAACAAAAAAGCTGGAAGTGACAGCATGGCTGAAGTGGAACATTATCAGCCTTGAGGAGAAAAAAGTAAGAAAATGTACTCTTTACCTGACTTATGTAACTGTAACCCCTCCATGTACATCACCTTTATAGTAACAATTTGAAATTCTTTGAAAAACTAAATGTGAGCAATCAAGACCCCAAGTCTGGGCTCCCAAAATTGCGCCAAAAAGGAAAATTTAAAAAAATTCAGACCTCAGTGGTTCACGTCTGTAATCCTAGTTAAGAGACTGAGATCTGAGCATCACAGACCAAAGCCAGTAGGGACAAGAAAATCTGTGAGACTCTTTATCTCCAATTAGCTATCAGAAAGCTAGAAGTAGAGCTATGACTCAAGTGGTAAAATACTAACCTTGAAAACAAAAGCTCAGGTGCTGGGAAGGTGGCTCAGTGATAGAGTGCTTGCCTCGCATACATGAGGGGCTGGCTTCCATTCCTCAGCACCACATAAGCAGAAAAAACCAGAAGTGGCACTGTGGCTCAAGTGGTAGAGCACTAGCCTTGAGCTGAAGAGCTGAGGGACAGCGCCCAGGCCCAGAGTTCAGCCCCCACAACCGACCAAAACAAAACAAAAAACAAAAGCTCAGGGCTTGGAATGTGGCTTAGTGGTAGAATGTCTGCCTAGCATGCATGAAGCCCTGGGTTCAATTCCTCAGATAAACAGAAAAGGCTAGAAGTGGTGCTGTGGCTCAAGTGGTAGAGTGCTAGCCTTGAGCAAAAGAAGCTCAGGGACAGTGCCCAAGCCCTGAGTTCAAGCCCCAGAACTAAAAAAAAAAAAGCAAACAAAAGCTCATGGATAGCACCCAGGCCCAGAGGTCAAGCCCCAGGACCAGCACAAGAAGGAAGGGAGGACTGAAAACAGGAAGGAGACTCATCTCCAATTAAGCATCTCCCCCCCACAAAACAAACCTAAGTGGATTGGTGGCTCAAGTGGTAGAGTGCTAGTCTTGAGCAAAGAGTTAAGGAACAGCACCTAGGGCCTGAGTTCAAGCCTCTGAACTGGCACAAAGATTGTCTCACAGGCTTCCCTGCTGGAGCTGGCTTTGAACTGTGATCCTCAGATCTCAACC